CAATGGGGGCATAAAGATGACGCTCAGCTCAGAATTGCCATTTAGAAGGAAAAGCTGTTTTGTTGTGTAAATATCGATGGGCAACAGAACTAAAGGAAAAGACACGTGCCAGTTATGTGGAAATCGAAAAGCAGTTGAAGCTATGTGCAAAAATTTCCAGGTTATGTAAGCTTGTATCGCTTTGACACTTGACGAATCAACTCCGTACATGCTTACAACTTACAGATGTCTTATCATTAGCTGTTTCTGGCAATTTTTTTTTTATTTTATTTTTTTTTGCATTCTAGTTACATAGAACAAGGTATCACTGCAACCCCGAAGTATCGATAGAAAACTCCATAATATGCGGCGATCTGGACAGTCTCWGCAGGAATTGCCGCAAACTACACTAGGGTTCCCCTCAAAATCTTTAGAGGAGTGTATACGATCTGAATTTAGCAAGGACAGCTCTCAGAAACAAACACCTTGTAAAATTTGCTAAAGAATCTGTGAATGTTTGCAGTATTTAGATATGTATAAAACTGCCCTGTACTCGATGAAGAATTCATCTTTATTTACTTTTTAGTAGAGTCGAATCAACACATTGACATGTCACATAATAAAGGTGTCCAGGTTACAGTGCCCTGGTATTGCGTGCCTTTTTGTTATATCTGTTGTAGTTCAGGTTCAATATATTTTTGAACCAGTTTAATCTAATTTGTTCCAGTACAAGACTTCTTGTACTGGTCTTTTTTTTTTTGCTTTCAATTGGCATTCTAAAAGAACTAAAAGAACTATATCCCATCTCATTCTCCCATTTTCTATCTATTATCTTATTTTCTACCTTCTACTAGTATTTCCTACTTTATCTTACCCTATACCCCACAGAAATATTGATATTTTCTATATTTTTAATTTATGAATAACACTTACCTTCATCAGGGTTTGAACCACAACTCTTGCTTCATAGTCCACAGTACTACCAATTATACCATCAAGGATTTTGTCATTGGTAGTAATGTTTGCAAATTGCAATTTATTAATGAAGAAAATTTTTATATAATGCTGGCTCAATCCTATTCCCAACCCTAAACCTAACCCAAAACCTAAACCCTAAACCTAACCTTAAACCTAATTTTAGCAGCCGGATGAGCTATGAACAATATTTTACACCTACCGTCAAGCTGTGTTGTACTAAATATCAGTTTTTACATGTAACGATGTTCTCCATTTCATAAATCGCAAACTAATTTGGAAGTAAACAGTTTAAGGATTGTATAAAGTAAATGTTAATAGAAATCAACAGAAAACTTTTACATTCCTGTGCTAAATCGACTTTACAATTTGAAATTTCCGCTTTTTGCTATTATCCAATCAGGTCCATGGATTATAATCCGATTAATTGCACTCTGGATAATGGCTGTTTTGCGCCAGACACACCAAATATGCCTACCTCTTACACGGAACGTTACTTAARATTACATAGGGAACTGTGAAGGGGACAATCATACAGGTCAGTTTTTTTTGGTTTTTTTTTAATCTTCCCCTTGATTTTGGCTTCACCTGTTTGAAAATTAAGTATTTATCAATGTAGGTATTTGGTCCACAAATATTCCAAATGAATATACTATTATAGTGATAATTTTTGCCCTTAAGGAATCTACCTTTTCATGTCTAATAATARTCCATTGATAATTGATTTAAGGACGGCTTTTTGGACTTCTTGAGGCTGGAATAATACAATGAAATAAATACAGGTAAACATTAACAGTTGAGCTGGGACTATACATAAACACAGAGTATGAAATTGATTGTAACACTTGTACATGGAAACTTTTGATTGATTTTTTGTTTTTGTTGCATTTGTTTCTGCTACTGTTCACGTCAAACGCATTGTCAATTGATGTTATTGTTGTCACCATAATTCAAGAAAATATAATATATGGTGTTTGATTTATACTGGGAAATATTGATTTTTCTTTTATTGTTATACACTTTAACTGTTTTGGCTATCCTCTAGTCGTCAATTTTATTCCTGTTGCTTAAACTTACTAGAGTAAGGACAATGTCATAGGTTATCCTAACAAAGTCATAGTCAATGAAACTTCCATCATGATCTTCCTTGCTTAGACAGTCATCTTTTTTCTGGCAAGAAAAAATAAAAAATCAACAGACTCTGAAGATGGAAATAACAATAGCGATAATGACAATGGCAATGTTTTTGATGAAGATGAAAAGTATCAAAAGTACCTTGAACACAGCATTAATATCATTGAAGGAATCAAATGTACAAGTTAAGAATCCTTGAATTGATTTGTAGTCACCAGAAGCCTTGGCAGCTCTCCAATCATTTCTATAAATCAATATTAAGTACTAAATTGAAAAGTGCAGCTTTGAAAAATTTGCTCAAACAATCACTTATCTATTTGATCTAATTATAGTAAAATTGAATAGAGTGGTTTAAGCCTCACCAATGAATAACTATGTATTAAAATATAGTAAATTATTTAGTTTAGAGTGTTATATTTGTTTGGCTGAAAACAGTGAAGGCCMAGGCCACCCCATCCAAAACATTAAAGTGATAGTTGAAGTCATAAAAATGAAGCGAAACAGGCCAATAGGCTGCCTAACAAATGGGGAGGTTTGTTTTTTTTATAATGTGGATCTAAATTTTGCCTAGTTAACCGAGGTTTGTCCAGATGAAACACAGGCTAACCTAAATTAAATGTTTAACTAAAGTAGTTCAATGCATAGAACTGAAAATGCTAGTATATGAGCAGCAACAAAAGATTTTTAAAATAGATCAATAAAAAAAAGAGAAACACCAGTCTAGTGCCTTCTCAGAATTCTGCCAAGATTTCAAGTTGCCTGTGTTACTCAATAGCCAAAACATCTAAAAATTGCAGTTGGTGGCAGCTCCAAGGATTTGCCTTTAGATGGTCTTTTATAAGTGGTTCTGTTTAAGCCAAGGACCAAGTTAATCGAATCAACCGTAGAAACCAAATTGCTTAAAAAGTCACACACCAAGCTGGATTCTTTCAGCATGTAAGCTTATTTCCTACCTACAAAATGATGTTCGTTTGAGTAGCGACCTAAAGGCAAAAAGGCTAAAAAAATACATTTCTTGATTTCTTGCAGTACAGCTTTGAGTCAAAACAAACCAATGTTCAAAGACAAGAGTTAAGCTGGAATATGCAAATCTARGATATTTTACAGTACTAACCAATTTGTAAACTATGGGTCATATTTTCCCTTTTTTGAGAAATCATGAGAAATAAGTAATAAAMAAGGCTATTTAGACTGCATTTCTTAGAACAAAAGATAAATGAATATGGATCATCATCTGCTAAATGCTAAATTGGTGAAAATAGTGCATATGTTAATTAGCATGTATAATCACTACAGTCGAACCTCGATTATCCGGACCTGTTGGGGCCGGACTGAAAAGTCCAGATAATCAAAAATATAATGATGATATATTAGTGAGACAATCTCCTTGGATGCTTAGGTTTCTTATGCAGTGGTGATTTTTAACTTTTCTAACCACCCAGTTGATGCTTTAAAGCCTCTGTGATCAGCTGACTCAGTGTTCAATTGTGAGAAGAAATGTTTTGCTTTTTCGGGCCTGAAATTGGTGTTCCCGTTGATCGTTGTTGGATAAACCAGGTGTACAGAGCTTTGTAAAGAATCTCGTCGTTTGCAACCTTTAGATACTTTCATTTAAGGTCTTCACTTATCTCAAGACTTTCGGTGAATTTGAGGATCTTTTCTTTGTATTATTTATGTTCAAGACTTGCTGTTTTAACACTTGAGTTTGCAATCGCTTACATTTCATAGACAAAGTTTTTGTGATTTAACACCAATACAGGTGTATACAATGTTTATTACTCGTATATTTAAGATTTTAAACACTTTTTTGAAGGGTTAACTCAGGTTTTTTTAGCACTAATTTCCGAGATCGCATCTCATTAATATTCATGAAAAAAAGTGYGACCAAAGACACAAGTCTGGATAATCAAAAAGTATGGATAATCAAGGTCCAGATAATTGAGGTTCGACTGTCATTACTTGCATAAAATACAATCCAAAAAAATCATTCTGTAGGTAAATGATTCTTTTAGAGGTTAGTCAAGTTTAACACCAGTAATTGCTTGAAATAARCCAGTGTTTATAAGTCGAACATCAAATAACCAAATTGACATTTTGTTAAATTATKATAATCCACCTTAACCTAACGGCCATGTTTCTGAAATTTCCTCAAATAAAAAACAGTACATATATGAATCGAGGGCATTATGCTCTGATAGTTAACCATAGAAATTGAATGTTTCTGGAAAAATATGAATTTTTTAGAAACATCCAGTTTCCAAGGGCAACAGCATAAATGTCTGACTGCTCTATTGTTTTTATTATTCAACAAMAAAATTTTCTGAAGCAGTCGTCARTATGTACTGAAGWACCATGACACATGGTTGATTCTCCACAAGTGMGAACTGAGAACATTTTCAGGTCAATTATAAAGTATTATTTATATATTTATGGGCTATATATTTTAGAAACGAGAAATAAGGCCAGTTTCCCATGGCAACACTCTCTTCTTTGACTTGCCTCTCATTAATATAACTTCCTTCATAAATATAATTTCCTTTCTAAATAATAGAATGAAATTCAACCGGAAATTTGAAATAAACATTAAAGCTTTCTGTATGTAGTATTTAAGCTTAATGTACATTTTTTCAAATTAAATATTTCAAATATTAAATAGTTTGCATAAAGTTGGATATTGTAAGACTTATTTGTTATTTTTTCCTTCGCTAATTTGCTATGAATTTCCATCATTCAAACATTCCCAATTCTTTTACCTTAGCGAGAGGGCATCTTGGTATTTCGGTGGCTTCGTTGTTTCATCTGGTGTTGGTGTAATTGAGTTTCGAACCTTGCGCGTTATATCACATTCAGAAGGTACTGAACTTGGCGCCCGAAGTTTGTCGGGAACCTGAAACGATCGACTTGATTCTACATCATCTTTATTTAGCAAAGAAGGAGGCCTTTCTTTCCCCCTCTTGAGCAGTCCGGAATGCCTCCCATCTGACGAAGTACTAACWGGAGCATCCATATTACCGTTCGTTTCATCTTCACTGTTATTGACATTACTGGAGTTGCATGATGGCGTTAGATTTCGAGAAAACTTAGTTCGAGAACTTAATAAAGATCTTGCCGAGGTAGAACTTGCTTGTTGATCTGCTTTACCTAGCTTAGGTAAATCTTTTTTGTTCGCATTAGCAGTGTTCAAAGACGAGGCAGTAGTTAGATCACTTGAAGACGGACGATCACTTCCACTCAAACTGGCTTTTTCGTCTTCGTTCTCGACGCCATAACTACCTCGCGATGAGTTTCTATGCCTTGACCCAAACAAATTGCTAAGTCTTCCTCCTTTAGTCTTCTCTGGACCACTTTTCTGTAAYAAAACAATGTACGATTAAGCACTCAGAAAAACTATACGCATTTTCATATGTAATAAAATGATTACAAAAGTTTAGCTCACCACTGCAGCTATCCGAACTTCGTTGCCATTATCTTCGTTTGGATTAAACAAAGGATTTTTAATCGGAGGTAAAAGGCGTTTTTGACCACCTTTGAACATTTCAAGATATTTTCAAAGGCGTGAGGAAGAAATCAGATTGTCCATGATGAGGAAAAATACAGAAAGAAAAAGTCGAGGAAAGATGTCACCAGATGTCCGCCATTGCTTTTATTTTACTGTTGGTGCGTGACTGATTACTTTCTTATGATTGGTCCATTTCATATTTCTGTGCAGTGATTGGTGTAGGATTTCCGTAGATTTTTATGGCAGGTGCACTCTAAATATTTGATAAGCCGTCCGAATATGTGTCGTTCCTTTGCGACCATGAATTTCATTTGAAATCTTAACAGCTTTAAAATGACATTGCAATGCCATAATCTTTCCACGAAATTCCGAAAAGTGGTTTTCATGTTTTCATAAAATCATTGAAGTGGCCGTCCAAGTGTTAAATATCTTGCTTCCTCTATTGTATCAATATTAAATCTTATTGAAGTAACTGCATGTTTTGAATGCTTTAGGCGTCTGAGATGAAATGAAAAAATATCTTCATTGTTATTAAAACTGCCTGTCTAGCTTCTATGTGATAAACCTTTTTTAAACAAACATGCGATAAACAATCAAAGTATACAAATCATGAAGAAAACTAGGGGGAAATGTTTCTTTATATTTCTCTTAAAGTCGGGATCGCTATTACCTCAACTACTTTTTAAATTATGAGATTCTTGCTATGCCCTCTAAATGAATTTATTTTCTCTTCCCGCCAAAATCGGTAAAGCAAAGAAATCATTGGCTTATCCATTTGATTGACAGTGCATCATTTCAGTGCTCTGGAAGTGGAAAGTTTATCAAAAGTAGGATAAATCAAAGCTTTCCACTTACTTGCAATTGTTTAAAAAAGACTAGTATTTTGAAGAAACCATCTATCAAAAGGTAAATTCATTGCCTCCTTTGAGTGTTTCTAGGTCAGTTTTTTTACATAAAGCTCAGGCGTTTGATAGTTTCGCAACTTTCATAAGCTTATTTTCGTCAAGTCACGTTTATGAATCGAATGAATCAACTTTTCATACTATTTTAAAAGGAACTATTTTCCTCATATAGGTTAAATATAACTTATTTGAATTCGAACGTAAACACTACACTACCAGGCAAGACATGTTTTACGCTCACAACGTTTTGACAAAGAAAGGCAAGCTTGGAATTATATGGTAAGTTTATGTAGAGTCTCTACTGTAGATACATTCCGCACAGAAAAAATTCTGTTCAAGTCCACTGTTTGTGTTTCCCGTTTATATAGGCTATTTTTGAATACCTTTCCGTTCGTTGTTTACGCCCAAGTTCGTAATACTTCTTCAAAACCTTGAAAAGCCCAGTAAAAAAAGACCTCGAGAATAGGTGCGTTGTTAGAAAAATCAAACAAGATCTCATAATAAAACGGTATGATCTTTTAAAAAATAAAAAATAAAAAAATAGAAAGTTCTTTTTAACTCGAAGATTGCGAAGCAATCGAAGAGTTATTGGAGCAGGGTCTTAATGGGGCGGTCTCAATGTCGGTAGTCAGTTAAAATTTCAAGCATTTATCGCTAGTCAGTTAAAATTCTAGGCATTTGTCGGTAGTCGGTTATTTAAAAAAAGTTGATAAACATTAAGTTTAAATGCATCTAAAACGGTGCTTTATAAGCTTACCAACAGAATTCTTTCTAAAATGCCAACAATTGAATCCTTAAGTCTTGATTGGTCAATTGGATGCCCTTAAAGTTATASAGTGGCTCATCACAACTTCAAGAAGCCAATCCGAAGCAAAATTTATTTTCTCCGCGGAAAATTTCGAAAGTAGTTGCTTGAAAAATAAAAAAAAGCTTGTATTCACGGAGCTAACATCTTTGAATATTGGAAAATGTCGCCAGTCAGTAAATTTGTTAATGTCGGTAGTCAGCAAATTTGGTTCAAATTTGTCGCTAGTCAGTAGTTATTTTGTCCATTTGTCGCTAGTCGGTTAACCCCATTTCAGACCCTGTTGGAGGGGGACGAGTCTGTCACTCACTCAATCACTCAGTCACTCACTTTCCTGTAAACTTGAGCCTGCGTTACTTCAGGACTATTCAGAACTATTAATTTATTCTCATTGTTTTCTAGTAAAATTTACTCATTAATTTGCCGTTACCGGTTTCCCTGTTCTACATTTGATTATTYATTCATTTATTTTTTGGCAAAGAAAGAAATCTAAAGAAATGTCATCTCCTCTGAGTCTCGAATCTCCATTTAGAAATCGAAACTATATTCATAAATCAGATGCTCAAAATTCTATTTGTCAAGTAATTATAATTCGATTTATCGTATCGYTCTTTATTCGTCTACATAATCACATGTAATCAATCTTCGAGTTGTGTTGCCATTGGCGGCTTGATTTTCATTTGCAAGGACCAGCAGTTAAGGAAGGGGATTTGTGGGATTTCAAAGTATAAATCAAAACATCTCATTCCCGGGTACTTGACAATTCACACTTATAGTGGCTAGTAGTATATAGAATCAATAATATTTGTGCCTACAGGTTGGCTGCAACTTACAAAGGCCAAAAGGGTAAACACCTCTCAAGCAAAGACTTCAAAAAAGTCAACATTATCAATGCTTGGTATGTTGAAAGTTCCACGTGCTTCTCTCAGTSCTTCTCTGATTGATTCAGTTTTTCGATTCATTGATCGTTGATCGTTGATTCTCTTTTRTTTGCATGATTCTTTGATTGACTTGATGGATCTATGTACTTGAGTTGGTTATAACAGAGTTTCAGTGCCAATTACCAGCACTGAATACTATGACTCAAATTTTGAGTACTTAATGTTTTACATTCAATGATAAAACCAAGCGCTGTTTCGCGATTAAAACCAAAGTGAGGTAAAATTGGTCAATACTCGTTTGCTGAAGCCCTCAAACTGAGCCAAGTCTGTCAAAAGTCATGCCATCTTACCATCATACCAAAGTCATTTTCGTAACATTGCAAACAGATGAACAGACTAAAAAGTTCTATATTTTTTTGTTATTGCTCGATTCTATCTCGCTTTTTGCAAAACTACAGGTCCCTCGCGCAACTTGTTTTAACTGCGAAAAGGGCTATTGGGTAAATACTAGACTGTGTTCATCCGTTCCCACCCCTCCCACCTGCGGGAAAACTCCTCCCCGAATTTTCAATGCAGGGGGGAGAGTTTGGAACGGATGTACACAGGCTAGGAAAATACCTATTAAAAAAACTGAAATTTCTGATTAGTCGATTTATTTATGCAGTGAATACATCATCAATCCATCATTACCTTTCGCTTTACGACTTTCGTCTACATTAATGGTGGGTGTTGTTCGCGTGCATAATGAACAAACAAGAATTGTTCTAAGTAAGTATGATAACCAGCAATTGCCCTGTAATTTAATTGCATCCCACCAAAACTATTGTATTAACGCTAATGATAATGGTCGCCATAGGGAGGAAGAACAATCATTGATAAATAATCTATATCAAAACTAGATAAAACTGTTTCTGGCCATTTCTTCCCACAGTATTAATGTTGTGATGTCACTATGCAAATAGGACAAWCAATTGTTAATTGTTTTTAGCTTTTTTATTTGCGTTAGATAGACTGTCATTTTTTTCTTCAACAAATTAGCTTTCATATTTCCAATCATGGCACAACTTTAGTCGCATTTTGAATAATATACAGTTTTTGCATCCCATTTATTTTATARAGCKGATTTCGTGACCTTGAAACGGATCGCAGAAAGAACGCGGCACGCGGTCACGGAACTGTTGTGCAAAACCACTAACCAGAATATTGAAAGTAGGCTAAAAGTCTACTCAGTATAACTGTCATATCAAACCCAGTCATCAACATAGAAATAAAAGAAATGAAAGAAAGTTATAGCTTAGGAATAAATTMAGAAAAATTAATTTCAGACCTCGCTGGGATTCGAACCCGACGTCGCTGGGGTTCGAATACCAGTCATCAACATACTATTTGCTAATCAGTTGAAGCTAATGAAATGATGAAAGCAGTCAAAGCTGCCATTGCACAGCAAAGATTGACATCAGAGCTACAGCTCAAGCAACCGGAGCAACGGTTGGTTCAGTTTCTATTTTATTCATCTCGTCTCCTCTCACTTCTTCCCTCTCTGTTCTTCTCCTTGCCCTCTCTTGTATTCGTCTCTTCTGTTCTTGTTATCTTTGCCTCTGTTTCCTTTCTTGATATGATCACATTCTCTCTTTTGATCGTGTCTTTTCATTTTCTTGAGTTTCCACAGCACGCACATTTTTTTGTCCAAACTTTGTTGCTATTTTATCCATTAATTTCTTGTTTTATCAGTCTTTTTATCATTGATCTCATTGCTAATCTGCTTATTTTCTTCTTTTGCATTGCATTGTTTCCGTGCTTTTAGTTGCTTTGTTTGCTATTTGGTTTCTTAATTGTTACATCGTGTCTGTCTCTTTCTTATTGTGGTATTTGCATTTTTATGGGGGAGCACTAGTTTTTTGTTTTTTTGTTGTTGTTGTTGTTGATTTGTTTTGGTTTGATTTACTTCCAGGCAAGATGCAATAACGCTTCCGCTTCTGTTGGATTATGAATTCGACCTTCCAGAATGCCAGGAACAGATTCACACAGACTACTTGGTTACTTTTGCTAGGGTTTGTGGATTTTCCCTAATAATTTTCAKTTTCAATATGAATAATTGAGCATGTTCAAAATAGAGTTCAACAATATAGCATAATACTATCCTAGTTTATGCCATAGTTAYAAGTTTTGACTATGCTTATAATGACTATGAATAACCATACCAACCGTCCCAAATTTTTTCATAGTTCTAGTTTCCTCAAGGGACTAATGCAAAAAGCACTATTTTGTGGGCGATTGAGGTGATTAGGACGATTACAAGTTAGCAAAACCCATGGCTACTTTCGGTCGTGCAATCGCTGTTCGACCATTGACATTCGCCATTTATCCGACAATCTTTTTTGAAACAGCTATAAAGAATACTAATAAGGGTGACCTTTATGAGATATAAAGGTCCATGACCCTAGCAAAGGTCTCAGGTTTGATACCTAATCATTGACCAATGCAGGATGTCAAACGATTAAATGTGGGATGACAAGAGTGCTTTGTAAACTGATTCGCGCATGATCAGTTTGCCCCACTTATCTCAAAACTTATTTAACGGCAATTTCTCCAAGAATTTTAACGGATTTGAGTTTCAAATTAGTGTTGGAGTTTTTGAAGCCGTTTAAAACACTTGAGATCTCTCTCATGTTTTAAATTAACTATATACTTGAAATATGCTCTTTATTGACATTCAAGAACATTCTGTCAACAGTCTGATAAATATTTCAAATTGCCTCGAGTCAAGTCACCAGAGATACGCCTTCCCTCGCCTGGCTCTTCCCCAGAGCAAAAAGTGTCCACTGAAGAAGAAAAAAGTCCACATCAAGCAGACCGTAAAGATATCACGCTTCCAGATATCGACTTCGACACCATTCTAGAAGAAGAGATCAAGGTAAGAAACGGTAGTACTGGACCCTTTGCACGTGACGTTCGTCGTAAGGACAAAACAAACGATTTTTTCTAATTTTTGCCCTTTTGGGAACTAGAATCCATTGTTTTTTCCTTTAGTTAGGGTTGCATTCCCGTGAACTGCAAGGGTATGGCAGTTGAGTACACCATCGCTATAGAGTCGCACAGACTGCAAAGACCTGAATCCTTTGCACACTTCCTTATTATTTTACTAAATCCACAATATTAATACAATTCTGGTTAACGATGGAAATGATCATGTTAAACCATATAGCTTTAAGAGGTGAAAAACAATAACTTGAGATTAAGAAGGCGAATTTCTTTGTTCAATCTTCGTTTGTCTTTGATTAGCTTAATCTTGATCTTATGCTTAGAGTGGTTTTCATAAACCTGTGAAACAAAGTGTAATAATTAGAGTGCAATAGATCGTAATAGTCGCGTAGAGATAATAAAAAACAAAAGAGCCAAAGTGTAATAGCGATAAATACTCTAAAGTGTGTTTCACGGGTTAATGAAAACCATACTCTATTGCATGTCTTGCTATTTCTTTTTCCATATCTTAATGCCACACGCTTGACTTCATTCCTTTGTATCCGATAGTGCCTATGATTATGTCCTGGTGAAAACCAGGCAAAATAAAATGACACAATCGTGCAAATAGCCTATTGACAAATACGTGATTTGGACGATTATATAGAAAGTATTAAACTCCCATATCTAGATACATATGCGTATACTAATGTCAGGTTTGTGACCATTGGTAATCAACATTCACGAAAGGCTCAATCCCTTCCTTGTAAAAATAACGTAGAGCAGATACGAGTGAGTGCAAACCAAGAAAAACGAACGGCAGTTTTTCATTCTAAAACTGTCTTGCGACCGTAAGCGGCGTTTACACGAGCAATTTTTCCTCGACAATTCTTCCTTGACAATGTTTCTTTGCAAGTGTAAACGAACAACAAGTCTTCCTTTTTTTCCTTGTCAAGGAAAAGCGAACATGTTGGCTTTTCATTGACAAGAAAAAAATGTCAATTTTACCCCATTTACACGAGCAATTTTTCCTTGTCAAGGAAAACTTGTCGAAGAAAAATTGCTCGTGTAAACGCCGCTTAACGATCTTGTTTTGTTTATGGAAGTTTACTACTGAAGTTCACAGCTATTGGACCGTCATTGTGCGCGCAATGAATTCTGGTAAAAATCCACAAGCAGCCATTTTACTGTTCCATGATACGATGTTGACTTAATTATTTGTGCTAAATTTACAGATTCCTGGTGAGGTTGACATTGTAGAACCACTCCCATACGAAGACGTCGAACTTCGAGAAGAGCCTGGATACAAAACACCAGACGAACATGGGTAATTAAGGTTTAGAAAATTACGAATACGGTGAATTTGGTATKTGAATAGCCTTCATGAGGGCCGTATTAAACAAGTCTGCGGAGATACGGATTTTATCTTCGAGTGTCGTTTATACTACGATTTGTTATTTTCACTAGATATAGTGAAGTGAGAAATATAGGTATTTCATGKATGTTTATATGATAAATAGATACAAGCCATATCATTAAAATGTACGTACACTTCCGCMTCTTCTACGCTACACAACGCCATTAAAGTAAAGAACATTTACCGCAATACATACAACAATTAATATCATCGTTCAAAATGGACCATTATATAAATGTTGGTTACATACCTGAGAAGCTAAAAAATGCATTTATATTTTTATCTAATGTCAATCTTATTAACGTCTTCTTGATTTGCTGTCCTTTGGAAAAGTTCTTATTCCAAGAGATTTTTAATTGTCTGGTAATTTACATATAATAACGATTACGTTCATGAAAGGACAAAGTAGGATGGAATACAATAAGTCTTTCTAGACGCTTGGAATCCGGAATGCGCGGCAGGGGAAACGGAATCTGATGAAACAAGAGGAATTCTTGTGAAATTTTTCTTGGGACCGGATTCTAGGAACTTGGAATTCAAAATGAGGAAGGTTCCGGATTCCGTGTAGCGGGCAAGTTAGTCTTGACCGGGACTTGAAAGTATTTGCTTTGCTAAAGATCTATTATTATTACAAATTTGGTTCGTGACATGATTTTTGGCTTCCAGTCTGTCTCCTCTGAAAGCAACTGAGGTAAATGTTGAAGAATCTGGCGTGATGTTATTTGATGAAAAGACCGGAGTTCTTATACCAGGTATGTTCAATCGAATGTATAACWGTTTCCAAAGACGAYTTAGAAAAGACGGTGTTAGTTATTGACTCATCAGCAAAGGAGTTTCTACGGTGCTTTCCTTATTTCCGTATAGATGACGACTATTGGTCCATGCTCACTAAAGTAAACTATGCATGTTTACCCTGACAACTCCTTGTGTTGTATTTTTACCAAAGTTCCTAAAATTCCCTATTTCTTGGAYAAACCTTTTTGTAAGTCAGCTATACACACGCGAAATAAGCATGCCACCGATATTAAGCCACCAACACTAACCCGAGAATACTTAGCTACTGGATTCCTTTAACATCTTTTTCAGAAGCAACACCGACACGAGAAAGCCAGGTAAGAATTCATTCAATGCTTATTAGCCTGTGTAGCGGCTATGTGCTATGATAGGGGGTGAGGGGGGTCGAGAGAGCCTCCTCGGGATCTTTTGTTGTTGTTTTTTCTCTCCTCCCCTTCCCCTCCCCTAGTGCCGCTACGCGGGCTAAAAGCCCATATTAACTATGATGTTGCAATAAACCGGCAATATAWATGTGTCTATTGGTTTCCCAATGTAGATTCCATATCAAGCTGCTACGCCCCAGCAAGCAGTGATTGATCGTGCAGTTCCTCAAAGGCCAAGAAGAAAGCGAAAGTTAGCCATCGATTTTTCAATCAAACTTACTGGCATTGCCATGCGCAGAAACTTCAACAAYGTTGACACACTGAAGAAAAGAAAAGTAAGATGGATGTGAKCATAGCAATTTCCCTTTTTTATTAGTCGTTACACAGTAGCAAACGTTATTTAGTTCGAGACAAAACAAAGAAGAGACAAAAGAAGTGGGTGAATAGGAGATCATACTGTGTAGATTAGTTGATCGAACGACTGCTATGAAATTAGGCACTGATTAGGCTGTGAGAGAGACCAGCCGATTGTCAGTTGATTATCCAGCTTTTGTTGGTGTTGGCTGATTACCTATTTTTCTTGTCTGCCAGCAAGATTGACTGAGCGGTCTGGGCACGGCACATGATTCATATAGGGTTGCAAAACTATACTAGCGCTGAGGTGCTTTCTGCTGGTATAGCCGTGCCATATCATTCAATTTCTGAATACGTATAGGGCTATTGATCGATCCTCCTGGTTACCTCTATTTAATATGGTCGACACTTCTAGTTGAAAGCCAACCGATATAATATATAGCTGTTGTTTTTTTGTATCAATACTAGATATGTGATATTCCTAAACTACCATCGCTGAGAGATTTATTCRTGCGTCCTGCTACATCAGGTTTGTAATGCAACAGACACAACTATTTATTTTGAAGTGGTTTTGCTGTAATATCATAAAGAGGAAAGCGCTTTGTGTAGAACTCGTTTTAACTTTAAGTCCAAAGTACACAAAATTTCATTTTGCCAACCAATGGATATTCAAACTCCGTTAGGCCTCGACGTCCGTCTGTCGACTCATTCATAGTAGTGTATTGTGATTTTGAGAAAATTCTCAATTGCTTGAATGTTGAGTTCATAATAGKCAATAAATTTACACATGTTGAAAAGACSAAATATATTGTTTCCTACTCTGAATGAGTGTTGATGTTTTTCTCTTTCAGTTGTCAATCATAATTCTCACTTCCGACGACTGTGGGATAAAAACGCTAAAATCAGACCACAGGATTACGATGAGAGAGAATGGGCACTACCCGAGGCAGGACASCCTAGCCCAATCATACACGAGGTATGGAGATCAGATGGTTTGACTGGTGACTGTGAGACATGAGAGATGAAGGGTAGCATATTGCAGGTTGTACAATTCAGCCTTATTTCTTAGAAAAGAGAAGTCTTAGTTATGTCATATATTAGATGCTTTAAAAGAATAACTTTTTGGGTTTCTGTCAGTTAGGTAAGGCAGGTAAGGCTGTTGGTCTCCAAGTCACTTGAAATAAACAGTACATGATCAGCATAGACTTGTGAAACTCCACTTGCTCTCTTTTGCTCTTCATTTTTTCTCGACGTRTTCCATATCAAAGGACAAAGACGCCATATTTTTTTCAGGAATTGAGCAGTGGTCTCGATGAAAGTCCAACGTCCGGTATCGAACTTCTAAGGGGAGCAAGCCATRTGTCATCCGAATTTGAACAGTCAGCGCCAATAGACAGTACACCTGAAGTAAGCATCCTCGGTGAGTAGTTTCATCTGTAATCCCCCAGTCAAATATATWTCACTAGCTATATTTCATCGATCTATGACCTTTATTGCTGGTCTGTTCCAGCTGACGTCAAAGCATCCAAGATAGTAGTACATCAACGAAAGATTTCSTTTTGATCTTATATTGGTGTCTTGTTCGTGTCCGCCGATCGTTTGTTCCCGGAATTAAGGCTTAAAATTCTAACAAGGGGTTGATTGAGCACCAAAATAGTTTTAGAGAGATTTTTCAACTTTGAATCGGTAATTTGTTTGGACTCAATTATGTAATACGACTTGCCTATTACAAGATAAAAGGAAGTTCTGAACTGAGYTAAGTAAATTACAAGCTTCGATTGCCTTTCAGACTGTTTTTTTTTTAGATAGTTACGAATGCTTTTACAGTTGTACCTCTTTTTCAAAGTAACATTTTTTAATTTTTTTATTTAACAGAAAGAAGCCGTAAATCACGTGATTTGTCTTTAACTGGAGACAGGAAAATCGATGTCAGCATCAGGACACCCAGCAAACCTCTTAGCAGGTTAGCAGGCTAGTGCTTGATTTTGACTGAGGGTCTCA